CCATAATTTTAGCTTTAGTTTAATTATAATAATCCTGATTTACTTACCCTCATGTAGTTCCAAACCTGTATGAAATTCTTATGTTGAACACAGAAGACAATTATTTGTTTGTTCGTTCATTCATTCATTCCATACAATGAATTCAAACGATTTTCAGTCTTGTTTTGGACCCCCACTGACTTTCATTTTAAGGACAAAACAGTTTAAACATTCTTCAAAATAGGGTGAGTAAATTAGTTTTTTTTTTTTTGGCGAACTATTCCTTTAAACCCGCTGTATGGTTGTTAACATGTTAAAATAAATATATAGTTATATAGTGCTAAACCACTGAATGTCCCACACAAATACATATTACAAGGGCTCAGGTTGAACATGGGATCAAAGGATGCAAAATGTCATGAATTATTAATATGGATTCCAGCTGAAACTGCATTTGAATGTCCGGTGCTAATGCATAAGCACACATACTAAAAACCCTTGTGAGGGCTTTGTTTGATTGTGCACTGCGAAGCTGCAGAAATGAAAAGGATAGTCATTTTTATAAAGAAAGAAAAAATGTAGCATTTGTAGCATCTCAAGCTCCTGAAGACTTTCTAAAGTGCATTGATCCATGCAGCAGATCCCTCTGCCCCCTCTCATCTCCGATGTGATATGTGGCTATCAGTACGCACATCTCTCATCTTCAGTTTCTCATAGAACTGCTGGAACCTGGCCATTCCCATTCTCCAGTGACACGATGATACCCATATCAAATTTGTCCTGCACGTCTCTGCTAATGGTATTGACAGCGGGGTGAGAAGGGGAATCTGAATGAAGAATAGACCCTGGCAGCTCTGAACAGAAAATGGACCGTGAATTAGACTCAACTGGGAGATCTGACCTCAAATGTACTGGAGGACACTTCAGTAAAAGAGTCAGTGAAATTTCATTTGGCGTAAACGACCACTCTCTTCCCAACTATAATTATGTCAATAATCTATGCAATTCTTCAGTGATGTCTGCGATAATCGTTCTTGTAAATAATGCATAGAGAGCAGAATTAGGATTAAATCCATTAGTTATCAAGACACAAAATGCATTATTACAGTTTGGTAGCAGCCGTTTCAAGTCAAGAGCTTTTTTTTTTGTTGCAGAAAGGCATGAAACATGCCTAAAAGCAAATTGATGAAACCCCTCATCTGATTCAGAAATTACAAAGATATTTGTATGCCTTTGCCTTTATTACTAAACTTTTACTCATCATTTCTGTTGCTCCATCTTGATGCATTTATATTTAATGTTATATATTTTAATATCGTACATTATCATTAAATATTGGAGAACGATTATTGTTACTTTTATTTTTTAGACGTGTTTGCTATTATTTTGCTGAATTATGTTACTTAATATGTTATGATGCTTGATTAACTATTGTTATTTTCATTTTTAAAATGTTTTCTAGTATTTAATCAACATTTTTCATTTATTTTTGTATCAGTTTAATTGTAACTATTACTTTTTCATTACTTATTTTAATTGTATTTACATTTGGGAGTACATTTATTTGTAAACCTGAACTGAAATGTATATTAATAGGCACACGCGTGTTTACTCAACAGGTGGGGCTTCAATGGTGTGTAAAAAACAACAACCCCAGGCTGGGATTTTGCACGTCTAGATGGTCTAGATGTAAACGGCGATCGGATCTGATTGGCTCCGTGTCCCGCCGACGTCACGACTTTCCAATGTAGCGGAAGCTGAAAGTTTTTTTCAGTTGAAAACTCAGATGTGGCGTGTGAGTGTGAGTGGATATGCGCGAAAGAGAAAATGAACAGTCGCTACTTACCAACAGGCGTTTGAGACAGTGAACCCAAGTCGGCTTAGTAGGAACGAGACATAGCCTGTTCAAGGACTTTCCTCCCCTGCTTTGACAATGTGGGAACAGGCGGAATTTGAGAAGCACTGGAGGAATGAGTTTCCCGACGGCGAAGCGCCCGTGATGAACCTCGGCTCGGTGGAGGACATAGAGGCAGAGCTGGAGAAATGCAAAGCCAATCTGAAGGTGTTACAGCAGGCGCTCTCGGAGGAGAAGTTCAAGGTGATCTACCTGCAGACCACCATCGCGCAGAAGAAAACTTGTGACTTTGAGAGACGGTGCAACAAGGGCAAGGCAGATTCAAAGAAGGACAGTTCTTGCGACTCAGACAGCAAAGGCGGGGACGAGCCTTTCGTCCGGGACATAACGTTACTCCGGGGCAGCAAGACAGGTAAACCCATCCTCGTCCCTCCTCGGAAAAAGCCCGATATTCCGCGAGAACACTCAGCGGCGCGCGACAGCTCTCGGTGCGTTGCCGAGCAACGGATAAACGAGCAGGACAGTGACCACGAGTTCGAGGACGTGGAGCTCAACGAAAACTTTCTGCGAAAAAACATTCTCAACCCAAAGGGTAACGTCCGCGAGAGTCAGCGGCTGAATCCTCGCGTCCGCTTGAGTCGAGAGCTGGACTCGGATGATGGCAGGCTGTCTCCTTCCCTCGCGCTCCGCGGCTCTCACGGGTCTGGACGCAGCACACCCGACGGATACCTGAGCTCCGACCATGACGACTCCTCCTCAACAGGTAGGACAGACTTAACAACTCAAAACTCCTACCATACCAGTTTCTTATCACCTTTCCCTTCCCAGTTCCCTTCAGAAGGAACGTCGGCTGCCACTGTTTATCACAAATAGGCAATTATGCGTATGTCGTCGCATGTCATTTTAGGAATGTGTCACAGGACGTTGCTTACTCAAAAACGAAAATGTACTGAAAATATACTCACTCTCCACCCAAGATGTAGACGAGTTTGTTTCTTCATTGAAACGGATTTGGAGAAATGTATCATTACATCACTTGCTCACCAATGGATCCACTTGACTTCAGTCAATCAATTAACCTCAAAGCAAAAAGCTGCATGTTTGTAATAAATGAATCAAGACATTTTTTACTTCAAACCATACCAGTCACTGCAGAGTAGCCTATTCATTGGCGAGCAAGTGGTGTAATGCTAAACGTCTTTAAATCTACATCTTGAATGGCATGAGGGTGAGTACATTTTCAGAAAATGTTCATTTTTGAGTGAATAGTCATTGCTTGAGCTTTTAAAATTGAAATGTTTGTGGTGGAGGTCTTTTACTAGTGAGGAAATTGGGAGAATATTTGTTGCTCCGTTCCACTCATTTATGATCCACTCCAGCTTTCAGTCAGTGTGCAGCTTGTTGACAAAGTATGATGCTTTGGTTTATTTAGAAGCTCTTTTGGTTGGTGGTTGGTTACTCAACATTTATTTGACATTTATAGAACAGTTTTATAAAACTAAACTATCACACACTATCATGCTGTCATACTGAATATCAACATGGCTACAGTCACACCACAGCCGTAGTGATATTCACAACAACGCTACTTACGCTTTTGTAATATTGTTTAATAAAATTGTACAAAAATACATGTACAGTTCAAAATTAAACCAAAAAAGTTTTTGAAAACTTCCTGGTTGTCAGAGAGATCTTTTTCATATTATAAAATATACATGTGGTAGCTCTAGGAAACCTGTGTAACTTGAGGAGAACTGACTTCATCCACTAAAACTCATGTTGGCTTTAATGCTTGATTGTCATTTGTTGTCCGTATACTGTCAACTGCAGTGTGCAAGTTTGTCTCTTCTGACAGTTTTATCAGTTAAATGCAGAATGTATCAAAGCGTCAGAAGAACTCTCACAATATGAACAGCCGAGTGTCCATAATTTGCTCTCACAACACCTCTGTGACATAGATATGAGTTTTATCCGATTTGACACTCCGCAATGACACTAGAACAGGAAAGAGGAAGAGGCACCAAATCTGATGGAACTGCACGTGTTGCTCTATGAGACATACTCACTGCATAAAAGTTTATGTATAACTTTTAAGCTGATCAAAGGCCAGATCCCAACCCCAAACTTTATGTTTACTTTAAAATTGTGCTTATAGGCAACATTATGTACATCATGCTAGACTGTATATTTGTTAGTTTATGGAAGTATATTTGAGCAGTGGTGTGACTCAGGAAAAATATTACAATAAATTTGATGTTGTGCTGGGTGACATTGTGCAAACATTAACAAAAACATCCTTAAATAAAATTTTAATCTGTAAAATTCTTGCCAAAATGCAGTCTGCTTGAGTGCACGGCCTTTGTCAACAACAAAAATCTTTGTATTTATTTAGCCATTGCATTTGGCATATTTTTATGGCATAACCCCTTTTCTGCATCATACACCACTGCATTTGAGTGTTCATTCTTAAGTGGATTTATAAGAAGTATCCAGGCAACAATTTAGTTTCCTAGTATTGTTGAGATGTTCCATTGTGGTACAATGAAAACATAACAGCTCCATGTCTATTTAGTGTCACTTCACTCATCTGGACTGTCAGTGAAGTTAGCATGCACATTACTTGCTCTATTAGACTTTGTCTGTGACTGATCTGGTTCATTTAATATGGCATAATCAGGAATTGGGCTTGATTGTGCTGCAGTGGGATGGAAGGCATAGTCTGGGCCTCTGGAGGGGATGTTGTTGCAGTGTGGGTGTGAAAGAGAGAGAGTGATGGAAATAAATGCTTAGGAAGTATTAGAGAACCACTGACCATATCCATATCATGTTCATCTCCATCAAGGGCGCAAGTTTGGTTTTAAAATGAGATGGGACTTTTTAAAATGCAGTGATGATGATGGATGATGTTCGTACACATTATGAATGACCTTTTATAGCTGGTTGTTTGTTCTGGTTTAGAAACAGTATTTATATATTTAGCCTATATTTCAGGTCAGTACACAAAATGTCATATTTTTTGTGTATACTAGGCATGGGCCGATTACCGGTTTCAAGGTATACCGCGATTTGAAAATTTCAGTTTCAATTGAAAGTTTCAAAACCACTAATATTTTCCATTATACCGTTCCTGCGGTATGCCCTGTTTTTCATGTTTTTTCAGGTTGAGTGCAGTGTAGAGAGTAACACGACCCTCCTCCTCCTGTTGGTGTGAGTGAGCGGTCAGTCACGTGTGTGTTGGATGGCTGAAATTAAGGAGCTTCCCCTGGAACTTACACGATCGGCAACTGGCCGTTTTTTGTCTTATTGCAAGCAGCTCGTCTCTGTTCTGGACTTGCACAAAATTCATTGCAATGCAATCATTTTCCAAAATGTAATTTATGTGAAAATATGAAGTCTGTAAACGCCCCTTAACACAGGCCAGAGAAGCTGAAGATGGACGCACAGAGAAAAATACTGTAGTAGGCAGATCACTCACTGTTCATGATGCACGAACTATTGGAAGAAAATCCTCAATATTGATGTTTTCATGTTTTTTCAGGTTGAGTGCAGTGTAGAGAGTAGCACGACCCTCCTCCTCCTGTTGGTGTGAGCGAGCGGTCAGTCACGTGTGTGTTGGATGGCTGAAATTAAGGAGCTTCCCCTGGAACTTATGCGATCGGCAACTGGCCGTTTTTTGTCTTATTGCAAGCAGCTCGTCTCTGTTCTGGACTTGCACAAAATTCATTGCAATGCAATCATTTTCCAAAATGTAATTTATGTGAAAATATGAAGTCTGTAAACGCCCCTTAACACAGGCCAGAGAAGCTGAAGATGGACGCACAGAGAAAAATACTGTAGTAGGCAGATCACTCACTGTTCATGATGCACGAACTATTGGAAGAAAATCCTCAATATTGATGTTGGGGTTTATATGAATGTGTTTCTGAGGGGAACTGACTGTCTTCAGAAAAGTTTACGTGGTATTTTGTTTTCAACTCGTCTCTGAATAGTTCATATTAAAGCAGTGTTTCAGGGCAGCGCTGCTGTGTTTACAGCGGCAACGAAGGAAACACCGTGTCTGTTGTTCCAGAAGCGCCTCCTGCTGTCAGAGAGTGAATCTGCATCTCATTCAGAGCTTCTGCTGTTTGCTTCGTTCAGGCATGTAGTATAATTTCACAAAGCTAGTCAGAACATTCTGTTTTTGCTTCAAATTGGGTTATTATTAAATCAAATTATGTATATGAACTATATGAATATATAACTAAATTATATGAAATGATATAAATGATATGTATATGAATTATATAACTATAAATTTAAATAACTGTAATTACAGATTTTCTTTATTTTTCTTCTTTTTAGGGAACAAATCAAAGAAAAAATAAACAAATTCTACTGTTCCTAATATTCTGTATGTTGCTCAAAAACAAAATATATTGTGTTCAGCAGAAAAAAGTTTAAAAATAACACATTTTAGAGCGGTAACGACAATACTCTCATTCAGAGCTTCTGCTGTTTGCTTCGTTCAGGCATGTAGTATAATTTCACAAAGCTAGTCAGAACATTCTGTTTTTGCTTCAAATTGGGTTATTATTAAATCAAATTATGTATATGAACTATATGAATATATAACTAAATTATATGAAATTATATAAATGATATGTATATGAATTATATAACTATAAATTTAAATAACTGTAATTACAGATTTAGGTCAGTCTTTATTTTTCTTCTTTTTAGGGAACAAATCAAAGAAAAAATAAACAAATTCTACTGTTCCTAATATTCTGTATGTTGCTCAAAAACAAAATATATTGTGTTCAGCAGAAAAAAGTTTAAAAATAACACATTTTAGAGCGGTAACGACAATACTGTGAAACCGTGATTAAGGTTATCATACCGTCCAAATCTTATACCGGCACATGCCTAGTGTATACATATGTATAATATGTTATAGTTTTTAAATATATTTTTCAAGATAAAACCTTTTTATTTTACAAAGATCATCATTTTATAAATATCATTACATTTTTCGAGGACTCTCAACACATGACATTTAACAACCTGAACTTACCTTGCCTTAAAAGTCAAATGATCTAATATTTTAAGAAACATATTGATTCTTGATGCACAGGATTAGTTGATGTGTCGGTTGGACCACATTACTTTATTGGTCGCACCACCTGACAGTTTTAATGAGCAGGGAAGCAGTAGTTTTTTTTTTTTTTTTACGAGAAGAGAACAATAGGGAGAACAATATAATGATAATTTGACCATGTTGTGTATTTTTACTTTTCTAATTCTCTTTACTCAGCAGTGGTACATTTTATATAGCGAATCTTAAAATACCATTTATATCCATTGTTGACTATGTGAAAATCAAGGCTTCAGCCACTAAAATTTAGTGAAGCTGATTTACCTTTGAAACTGATGTCTCTACTCAACACTTGGAAACAGTTTGAGTTTATAATTGGCCTCAGCCTGACTGCCGCAGTTGGTTAAGCGCATCTTCTGACCTAATTATCAGTGAATTTTATAAAGCCTTGAAGGCTTTGAAAAGGCTCTGTGTAGTTTCAGTTTTAAACGAGATCAGGTTAATTCTGTGTAGTTTTTATGTTTCAAGTATGCACCAGTTTTTATTTATTTTGTTCAGTTATAAAGTCGACACTTAGATCACAGTCTAGTTGAAATAAGCTCCAACAACCAAGTCAAACTTTTGTTTGTACTGCTGCCTGGGTAGGATGCAGCTGGATCACACATGAAAATTATCAAAAATATGTGGTT